ACCTGATTCCACTAAAAAACCCATGCTTTCCATGGCTGCTGTAAAAATAAACCTTTCACTATGTCTCTCATTCACATTTCAATGGTTCAACATTTCACTCACATATCTGGCACTACTTTCATCTCCCCATTTAGGCAGTGGCAAGTAAACAGCAATAAAATTATATAAAACAAAAATATTTTTGCAAAGGTCATACGTATTTTCAAATAATGGTACAGGTCAAAACTTCTTAAATGAATATAAGGTATCCTACAAAGCCATTTTATCTCACTACTTTGTTAAAAACAACACTACATATTTATACATTCATCTTTATACAGTTATTCTACCAAATGAGGAAAATACTTATTAAGCCATTTAATTATTTACTTGTTTTAGAAGAACTCACCAAGCCTAGTGGTTTCAGATGGCTCTGTCACATGTGATTGACGTTTGAGCATTTCCATTATCATTTATGTAAATTATCTAAGGCTCGTGCAGCCTCTTCCAGTGTAAATCCACTGCCATGTCATTGATACAAAATTGGAAAGTATGGGTGCTGCCCACTAATATGGCCTTGGATTCTTTTCATCTAATCTGCCAAAATATTGTCTGGGATAAGAAATTTTTATAGAGTTGGCTGGGATTTAGAACAGGCTAAACACTTACCCTGATACATTTCACACAGTTGCCAATGCTTCCTTTTAGTCCAGGATCCCAGGTGAGAATTCCAGTAGTTTCCATATACTCTTCTCCACTGAACCCTCACTAGAACGTCAATCCCAAATCTGTGTCCTAGCTAATATTTATTTGTGTGAAATAACTGAGCCTTAAGGAAACTATTTTTTGAAGTATTAAATGAAAAAGGTTTCTATGAATATTTTAGCAACAATACTATCTGATTTATTTTCCTTGGACACTAACGAACATCCAACAATAAATAAATCTCTCTCTCTCTCCAAAAGTATCTTTGTGTTCAAGCTTGAGAAAGAGAAAAGCAGCCGCTGACATCCAGGAGCTGGCCTGTTACTATCAGCTTGGCCTAGGTGTTTTGCTGTTGAACATAAATCATTTCACAGGGCATCAGCAGCAGACCAGGCCACTCTGTGACCACGATGGAGCAGGACAATAATGGCACCTTATCATGTCTAAACACAGACAAAATATGAACATTGTCCAAGCCACAAAATTCTAGCCATCCCTCTCTCTTGCTAACTGAGAGATTGCCACTTCTTTACTGACTACAGCTTTAGTCTCCCCTCCTACAGCTAAGATTTATTGGGATACACAATCATAAAACTGTTCCTGCTTTCTGACAGCACCTAACCCAGAGTGAGTCCTCACTTTCTTGGACCCTCCCCCAAATCACTCATTCAAAGCCCGAACCTAATGAGTCATTTCAAACTCGGTTCCTTGTGATGTGCATCCTCCCTCACTGCAGTGAGTCGGAACCCCAATACACCCAACGACAGGTGTTTTCCTGGTGGTCTTTGTGGGGAGAGCGCTGACAAGCTCAGTCACTAAAGCCAGAACAGACATTCTTAAGAAAAGCTAAAAGAATTTTTATCTTCCAGATACTCACTAAAATTCTAATACAAAATAAACTCCTTGAGCTTATTTTCTCACATTGTGGCTTTTTTGGCAAAGGACCCTTTAGTTCTGTCCCTCAGAAGAATTGCTTTTGTGAGGTGTAGAATAAACAGGCGGATTATGGCTCAACTGTTAAATATTTACTCAAGGAAGAGGCACGTTTCCAAAAATTATGATTCAACATGTTAGATCAACACCCAGGCCACAGTGAGCCTGGTGGCCCATAATCCTGGATGCTTACGTAGAATCCTATAGACTTCCCTGGTGGCGCAGTGGTTAAGAATCCACCTGCCAATGCAGGGGACACGGGTTCGAGCCCTGGTCCAGGAATATCCCACATGCCACGGAGCACCTAAGCCCCTGGGCCACAACTACTGAGCCTGCGCTCCAGAGGCCGAGAGCCACAACTACTGAACCCGCGTGCCACAACTACTGAAGCCCACGCGCCTAGAGCCCATGCTCTGCAACAAGAGAAGCCACCGCCATGAGAAGCCCGCGCACCGCAACAAAGAGTAGCTCCTGCTCTCTGCAACTAAAGAAAGCCCACGTGCAGCAATGAAGACCCAACGCAGCCATAAATAAATAAATATATATATAAAAATTTTAAAAAGAATCCTATAGTGGATTCAATGTGAACCTCTAGTAGAAAAGCAGACAATAGAATTAAGTGACGTGACATTGACTTTGCTCCAATTCTTGCTTTTCTCAGATTTCATCCTTATTAGGGATGAATATCTCTCAATTATTATTTCCCCAACAAAGCACATTTAATGGTCTATTAAAGTTAGCAAGAGAGGGGGATGTCTGGTATTTTCTGGCTTGGACAATTTAGAAGTTTCTAAATAGAAAAATTTAAATTGCCTGCTGTGCAAAAGATGTGAAGCAGTAATCTAAAGACCTGGGGTACATTTATATAAATCTCAATAATTTGTATGAGACAAAATGTTTCCAATTATAGCATATAACTTCTGACATTTTGAAAAATGACTAGTAGCCTTTGCAAAGTACCAATAGCATATTCTGCCTCTCTCTAAATTATAAATAGACTTTCCTCTACATGGCTTATTCCAAAAAACAATTCCATTTAAGGGAAGAGCAATAACACCTAAAAGTTACTGTCATCACCTATATATTAAATACTGCTCAAAGAATTTTATACACATTTGTGTGTGTGTGTGTGTGTGTGTGTGTGTGTGTGTGTGTGTGTGGTACGCGGGCCTCTCACTGCTGTGGCCTCTCCGTTGCGGAGCACAGGCTCCGGACGCGCAGGCTCAGCGGCCATGACTCATGGGCCCAGCCGCTCCGCGGCACGTGGGATCTTCCCGGACCGGGGCACGAACCCGCGTCCCCTGCATCGGCAGGCGGACTCTCAACCACTGCGCCACCAGGGAAGCCCCACATTATTTTTAATCCTCACAAAATACCAAAAGGTATACATAGCTGTTCACATTTTACAGATGAGGACCTGGAAATTAAGTGATAGGCTCCAAACACACAACAGTAAATGACAGAGTTAAGGTGATAACCCACTTTCATCTGACTTGCCAAGCTGAAGGATGTTTACCTGTGTGCATGTGTGGTATGTGTGTGTGTTCTTTTTAGGTGAAATTACTTTTAACATTCAAAATTCACTGTGTTTTAACCGCTCATTTAGTATGTGCCTTTTAATGTATGCACAAACATACACACACACTCAAAACTTGCTATTAATTGCTATCATTTTGACTGCAAGTTTGGAAAAGAATTTATTCCTAAAATAAATGTTTGAGAAAATGGAGCTTTAAAAATATTACAGTTATCACATATGATGATTTCTTCTTCTCTAACCCCTCAAATACTTTAAGATGGCTTTGGTCGTGTGAATTTAGTATCATCACTCAGAGCTTAAAATCTTCTTGAGATACGTTCTCCACCCCTTTAATAGTTCTGAGTATATTGTTTCTAATACAGCACAGGGAATTCAGAAAGAAATTAAGAGGATTTTGAAATGATATTGTGAATTCAAGCAAAAATTCCCTTTTTCTTTTTCCCTATCTCTTGCTCTCTTTCTCTTTTCTAGTTGTTTTTTCTTTTTTAAAAAATTATTGATCAATTAGCTAACACTCTATAAAAATGTCCTTGAGGGCTGGGGGATCCAGAATCCTTAAGTACAAAAGGACATTCTACCAGTGTTCCTGCCTGCCCTGAATTATCCTTTTACGTTTATCAGATTGCATCACTATCTTCATGCTATTATCTAAAAACTGTCATATGTGGGCTTGCTTTTTTTAATCAAATTACACTACACGGCACTGTACAAATATACTAATCCCTTGTTTGCCAGTGATCTCTTCAATATCAGAGGTTTGGAATTATTTCAAATTTTTTAGATTAGGAGACATTTAGTACATCAGAGATCTACCACTTTGAAGCACAATGCAATTTCAACATTATCAAAATAAAAAATATTCATTTGCTCATGATACTTATTTTTTTAATCTGCTCATTCAAAACCCCAAACCATCTAGCTTTGGAATCCATTTACATTAGAATCATAGATCCCGCCCATATTATTGACTCAGGAAATAAATTGATTTTAGGAGACTTTATTTAAAAGGCATCTTCTTCAGAGGTGGAGCTCAAAGAGCTCTGTGAGGCTGCAACAGTTTCCCAGGAGTCAGGCCATAAAGAAAGAAGTGCTGGCACTGGGTGGGGCTGAATAGTTCACATCTTTTCCCACTGTTTCTCACTGGTATGCTTCCATGAAAATCAAGGGTGTGGGAATGTATGCCAGGGTAGGAAACCCTACAGACTGCTTTGTGTGCCCAACACCCCCTAACCCATAATATCTTTAGCCGTTTATCTTAATCAATGAAAGAGCTATCACATTAATGTCTGGAAAAACTGCAAAGGAGCTAAGCAAACCAAAGAAATGTCATGCTGGGGATCAAATTTCTCCTGTCACATCAGTCTTTTCTCCTTCGGAAGAATACACTTAGCACGGATCCAAAAGGCATTTGCTGTCCAGCCATCTCAAGATCGTCACGGAGCCAAAACATCTGGCCCCGAATCTTCCTTTTGCTCCACAATCCACCTTGCTTAACAGTTCCTTTTAAACTCACCCATTCTAAAAATAAATTGACTCTCTCTGTACCCGGTTAATACCAGAAGCATCCATCAGTGGCCACAGTCCTCAGTAATCCACATGCCAAACACACCTTATCTCTGTGCATTTCACCACGCTCCAGTCAACGTTATCTATTATGAACCGAGGTCTCTTTCCTATTCTCAGAAAGCAGCGCTTTGCACCTACCTCTTTAAAAAGCAATGCTTGCACAGCTATAGTCTGTAGTTACTCTTAATGCTCCATGGTTTCTACAGCCTCACTGATATTACACACTCACACATACACACACATCTCTACACAGACATTCCTAATTCCAGCAGTTTACCTTTTTGGGTCTTTTTCTTCTCTGACTACTGCCATTGAACTTCTCTCCACTGTCGCTTTTCTGAGCTGCATCTTCGTTCATCATTTTGAACAGTTTGGAAAGAAAACAGCGCTGCCATTAAACCCTGCCGCCTGTCCAGACCACTAGCGAGTATGCACTTACTGGAGGAAAGCTGGAGGAGGAGGGGTGGGGAAGGGGCGCGCACTGGGAGGGTGAGGACGGTGACGTTGCCATGGCAGCAGCTGCCACAACTGTTTATCTGACTGCATTGTTCAATCTGATTCAACCAATTACCATCAGGGACCGGTTACAAGGAAGAAAGCCTTGAAAAAAACATGCCAGGGACTCGAATGATTTGGGGACACTGCTGGTTGGTTTTTGACACACCCGCAGTCCCAAAGGCTCTCAACCCACACACAAAACCTACACTTAATTTTCTTCCTACAGGTACTTCAACACAGAGCAGATACAGTGCGTAATGAGAAAACTATAACATCCTTGAATGTCTCTGAACCTGAAGAGGCACATTTTAGCTGGCGAAGAGGTTACTCAAGGAACAGGATTAGCTATTAATATCCTAAGGTAAATGTAAGAAAGTTATATTTTTAAGATGTTATTCACTTGATTCCAGACGATAATCTTTCAAAACTCAGCTCAAGGATGATTTCTGTTATAAAGCCTTGTGAGCAGGCTCCCCAGCAACCAGGTAACAGACCTGTCCCTCTTCTGTGCCTCCCCTTTCCACTGAGCCTTTCTGACATAGCACCCGTAACACTGTTTCACAATTGCACGTTTACCCAGCTGTCTATTTTCGACAGGCCAAGAGCTTCTTAAAGCCAGAGACTGAGCTTTGTGTGTGTGTGTGTGTGTGTGTGTGTGTCTGTGTGTGTGTGTGTGTCTGTGTGTGCGTGTGTGTTTGGGTTGGGGGAGATTGCTGAATTTCCCGGAACCAAGCATGATGCAGTGGTACATTAAAGACACTATGGGTAATACAAATATAAGAAAGTTGTGGAGTTAAAACATTTTATAACTGATCTTTTAAATCTTCTTAACCTAATTCTCTCTATTGACTGATGAATAAAACATAATTCCTGCTCTCCAGGAGCTTATAAAGTTCCAGAATTCTTCTTGATAAGAAAAGAAATTAGAGCCTGTTTTTATAACAAGAAACCCAATTTTATCCTATTGGATTGAGGTGGCCATATTTGTATGTTTAAACATGTTAAATTGTGGACGCAACCAGAGCCCAACATGTTTTGTACAAATACACACATGCACACACTAAACACTCATCCCTATTCCTAGAAAACAAACTCAAAGCATAACACACAGAATACTGAAATGGGAAAAATAGAGTAAGGATTAAACCAATGAGATAATGTATATAAATACACTTTGCAAATTGAAGGTCCCTATGTAAATGCGTTATTGCTATTGTTAATCCTATTATTATTACAAATATAGGTAATTTTCAACTCAGAAAAGTATATCTTAAAAAGGTTTCTTACAGGAAAACAGCTACCAAAATTGGGAATTCACCTTTCCAGTAAACACAGCAAGAAAAACTCACCTTTTCTCCCCACTGCTGTCGGGATTGCTCCTTATCTCTGCCTGACCTCCCCTGAGACCCTTGCCACTTCCTCATCTAGGGTCAGCCCCACCTTGCTGCCTCTCATTCCCTCCACCCTCCTTCTGCTTGAGCAGACCCATCCCACCGTGATGCCTTGGATCCCACAAACAGGACAGAAGCAATAGGACCCTTTTTTCCTAAACAAAACCCTACAGGAACTTCTACAGAAGCTTCTAAGAGCCCAACTCCCACTGTTGTCAGAGCCTTCATGAAAATCCCTCCTGATAGCATCCCACTCCTCCGCTATCCCCTCACCGAACCCCTCACTCATTCCCTCACCTGTCCCCATTATGCCTCCCTTTTTGACCTTTCTTAGGAGCACCCTCAGCCTAGAAACTGGATTAATTTACTCAATAAATATTTATTGAATACCTACCATGTGGTAGGAACTAAGCACTAGGGACACACTGCCCTAACCACCAGGGATATAATGGTGAACAAAACAGGCAACATTTTTTGCAATCATGGTGCTTATATTCTTACAGGGAAACTAGATAGTAAACAAAAATAATAGTGGTAAGGGCTATGGCGGAAAAAAGTAGGATAAAGAGCGATGGGGAACAGATGCTATTTTAGATAAGGTAGATAGAACACTCTCTAGGAACCTGAATGAAGTTAGGGACCAAGCCAAGCAATTATCTGGAGGAAGATTATTTCCTTATTGCATTTAAAAATAAACTTTAGGCCCCTATTATATGCCGTGCAATGTTTTAGGTTCCATGTGGGATGTAAAGATAGACACTAATCCTGCCCTCAAAGCAAAGAGAAAAGCAGTTCAAAAGTCCTAAAATGGGAACTTCTTGTCAAACATATTAGGAAAACTATGATACTCCAAAAGGGGAAAAGAAGGGAAAAGGAAAACTTTTCTAGCAACTGGATCCATAGGAGAGATATGTTACTAATACCCTTCATTCTCATGTGACGCCAGAATGGGTTTTTCAATCAATCGGTTTGGTAGCCCAATTTGGAACCTAATCATTGCTTTAACATCACCTCTGCAGTGTATACCGCAAACAGATGTACTTCATATTTCACTACTTTATGAATCAGCAACTTTTTTTTTTAATTTATTTTTTTGGTTGCACCAGCTCCTTAGTTGTGGCACATGGGCTCCTTAGTTGCAGCATGCATGTGGGATCTAGTTCCCTGACCAGGGATCAAACCCCGGCCCCCTGCATTGGGAGTGCGGAGTCTTAACCGTTGCACCACCAGGGAAGCCCCAAGCAACTTCTGATTATGTTTGAACTGCCTCTTGTAACAGTGCCTTCTCTGTCAACATTCAAATATATAGTACACGGCTTAAACACTCAGATGCAGGCCTCCGATTCTGACAATGAGCTATAACCTCTTGCTGCTTCTTCTAAACTTTTATACAGTATACTTTCTTTACAGAGTGAAAGTACTGCACACATACTAGACCAGCATACCGCAGAGGTCAGCACCCATCCTCAAACTGTAAAATAAAAATCTCAGCACGTAGATAAACAGGTGCTAGTAACATTATGTTCATTACAGCTTTAGAAGGTACATTTTATACGTACAGAGAACATCAACAACATGTTATGATACTGTGAATGCGGGGGGTTTCTCTTTTGAAGCTTTCAATCAATTTCTCAGTGCCTCTCTAGTGGGCACTCCTCCCCGCCCGTCCTCATAGTGCAGTTTTTTTTGTTGTTGTTGTTTCTTTGCGGTACGAGGGCCTCTCACTGCTGCGGCCTCTCCCATCGCGGAGCACAGGCTCCAGACGCGCAGGCTCAGTGGCCATGGCTCACGGGCCCAGCCGCTCCGCGGCATGTGAGATCTTCCCGGACCGGGGCACGAACCCGTGTCCCCTGCATCGGCAGGCGGATTCTCAACCACTGTGCCACCAGGGAAGCCCTATAGTGCAGTTTTTTGTGGGCACGTGTCCAACTGGACGCTAAGCTCCTTGAGGGCAGGATGTGTCTATCTTTGCATCACACGTGGAACCGAACACATCGCGTGGCATTTAATAGGGGCCCAAGGTTTATTATTAAATGCAATAAGGAAACATTTTAAATATCTACCATGAGTCTATGCTTATGGATAAACTTCTAATGGGTAAATTCTTCATTTCTTAGATTATTTTGTGTACTTTCTGACCTCTAGGAGCTATGCATAATTTCAAATAAGATTTTTAAAGACACTTGAGAAATTGGAGTTGCTGCAGACAACATAGCAGCGATAATAGTACGTTACATTTTAAAGCATTTTATAATTTGTATAATTTTTAGCTCCAAAATAGAAAATCCATGAAGACTGGGATCTCTGCTCACTGATATATCCCAAGCACTTATAACAATACTGGCATTTGACAGACACAAATATTTAGTAACTTTATGGGATTCTCACAACCACACATGGAAAAAGGTTAAGATCAATCATAGCACAGGTGAAAAAACTGAGGTAAAAGGCAGTTTTGGTGACTTTCCCAAGATAACAAGGTTAATAAGACACAGAGCTAACGTTCTTCTGATTCTAATGTCACTGTTCTTTTGTTAAATCATGGCTGGCTTCAATGAAGAGCAGCCACTTAATAAAGTGCAGGAAGATGGAAACTGCCAAGAGTGGAAACTACAGTCGGATGACAGTGACCCGAGTAGAAAAAGGAAACCTTTATTAGTTTTATGTTAAGCATATTTTTATAGGCATGGCGTTTTAGAGGTGATTATATTAATTTTAATAGGCCTGCTGTTCCATGTTGTTGTCCAACTGCAGCTGGGAGGAGAACCCTGGGTACATGACAGAGTGGACATGACTCCAGGCACAGCAAGAGGGGCTCAAAGTGGGACTGGCCCTGGTGATTGGCATCAGAGAGAGGAAGTGGTATCATGGCTGGGTTCAAATCACATCAGGATATGTCCCGTGCCCAGCAGTGTTTTGGGCCAAGGCCACTGACTCTGTACCTCATTTCTATCCTACCTACCCATTCTTGATACTTTGCTTCTTCTGTCATTTATTTGAGCGGGGTAAATTTCCCTGAAGTGTAAGCAATTGTGTCTATGTTTAAGTCCTAACCCTCCAGCACTGTGAATGTGATGAAATCATGTTAAGATGAGGATGGGTGGATTAGGGTGAGCCTTAATCCAATGACTGGTATCCTTATAAAGAGGGGGAAATTTGGGCACAGAGACACACAGCGGGAAGATGGCCATGTGAAGACTGAGGTAGGAGCAATGCAGCTGCAAGCCAAAGAAGACCAATTGCCAACAACCACCAGAAGCTAGGAAGAGGTAAGGAAGGATCCTTCTCTAGAACTTTCAGAAGGAGCATGGCTCTGACAACACCTTGATTGCAGACTTCTATCCTCCATAACTGTGAGAGGATAAAGTTCTGTTATTTTAAGCCACCCAGTTTGTGGCCCTTTGTTACGGCAATCCTAGGAAAGTAATACAACCATATTTTCCAGCCACCCTTGCAGCTGGACCCAGCCATATGACCTAGTCCTAGTGTTACGGCACGCAAGTCTGTGTGCCCAATGCACAGTGAGGCCAACCAATACCAAAACTTCGGAGTTTAGAGCAGCGAAAGGTTTATTGCAGGCCAGACAAGGAGACGGCTGGCTCATGCCTTAAAAACCCCAAACTCGCTGAAAGCTTTCAGCAAAGCCCTTTTATAGGAAAGATGAGGGAGGGGCATGGTTAGTTGTTGCATACTTCTTGGGGTCAGATCCTTTGTTCTCTCTTTTTTTTTTTATTTTCATGATCCTTTGTTCTCGGTCAGGTCATGATGTTCTGTTAACCTCCACCAAAACAAATGTTATTCTCTGGTCTGACCAGAGAGCGCAAGGTCCCAAGGCTCAACTTTCGCCCTCTGAGGTCCAGACCCTGGCTAAGAGGAGGGGATCCCTGCGCGGGCAGTTACCCTGCCTGAGAACGTTCATCCAGCACCCCATCTGGGTCCTCCCAGCACTGCCCAGGCCCAGCTGAGGAGGCAGATCTCAGCTGGCAGCGCCCTCAGGGCCAGGTCCCCAGACCCTGCCCAGCCGTCATCACTGAGGGAGCCAGGCGCCCAGGACCCAGCCAGCCCTCAGGCTTTTCATTTAAACCGGAGAGAATCATTTGTATGGGATCGATAGGAATACGTGTTGTAGCAAATACCCATCAGGTGAATCCCCAGCTCACGACAATTGCCCTCTTTGAGAAGAGCCCCAAGCACAGAGATGGACCTGAACTAAGGATGTGCAGTGTCCCTACCACGTAAGCCCGACCTCGGGCCACCTCCTTGGGGTAGACAACTGACCTAAACTGGACCAATTTTGGAAACTTGAACAGAGAGACTCAGGCTGGTTGAAGCTGTTACCTTAATGGCAGTGTTCATATACTCCAGTTGCTGAGGCCCCCGTGCACTGCGACCTATGGAGACTGGAGCCACCATTCAGTCGCAGGGGGCGGGGAGCGGGAGGGGTTCGCCACTGCTTCAAGGCCTGGGCCCAGCCAGCGGACGCCACGGCCAGGGCCCTGGAGCTCTGCGGGACACAGCCCCTCAGCCTGTCCCAGGGCCCCTCAGCTCACTCAGCAGCCCTGGAGGGCCCCAGAGGGCCTGGAGGGCCCCAGGGAGAAGGCCGCAATCCAGCTCTCACCGTGCTCTCTGCTGCAAGGACCACTGCCAGGCTGACTGTTGGCGGAGCGGGACTAACGCACGTGCTCAGGCACTCACACTAACGGCTGTGCACCTGCTCCGCCCCTAGTACAC